GTAAACCGCTCAAACTTGAGGAATCATCAAAGAATGAGATTGGAAAATTTATTTCGCATTGGTCACGATGACAAGTTGCAACGTGAGGATGGCCAGTTGGTCCTGTTGTTGATGGAGTACGACGCGGCAACGTATTGGAAGGTTTGAGGGGACGGGTGGTGGACCTTGGGACGGAGGAGGAGATGGAAGTGTCGTGATGATGATGCGAGGGAACGGGTTGGGAAGTGTGAGTGCGAGTGATGGGGGGCTGCAGAAGTCGGCCAATGATCATGGTATCATATAGAGATAAACAGTTCCAATGTTAGTTATTCAGTATAGGACGGGGCTGGAATGATGTGATTGGCTGGTTCGCAGTTCAAATTTCTCCATGTATTTTTGATGCCGCGTAAGTGAAGCCGTAGCACTCGCTCCGACCATCCGTCTCACTCTACCCTTTACCATCTCTCCTCACACTGTATATTTTACGTCCCAGAAAACAAAACAGTTTTTTGTGCTTCGGGCTGGACCACACCCACCCACCATCATCAATTAAAAGTAAGTTTAAGGACAAGATAGGTTAGACTTTTACAACCATGCTAAGGATTTAATGTGACTTAATTTTTTTTACAGATTTTCGTCATCTCGAGTGGAGAATTTTTGCGACTTTCTAAGTTCGAATAATTAATTAAAAACTGGAACTTGTTGTGATTCAGATTTAAAACCAAATTTATTGCAACAAATTATATTCATTCGGATGCGACTAAATTGATTTAGCATAAATACAACTTTACTAACTTTACGTTTAACAAGTATCTAAATAACAACTAATAACACATACTCCACAGCCGTGTTGTCACCACTGAAAGTGTGTATCCACCGGCAATATTGATAAAGAAATTGTTATCTAATGTGAATAAAACTTCCTTGTTGTTTATAGATTTAATAATGCATCTTCACGAATAAAAACAACTTTGCCGTAATAACCAAACATCGAAATAATTTCCCGGTTGCAAAATATTTTATTACAAATAGTAGCAATAATTTTCGTGCCTTGAGTATATAAGGAAAATGGAAACAGTTGAATGTGGTTCTGCTTACCCCCACGGCCAGAAGGGCGACGAGACCGTTCTCGGAGGCGTAAATACCCCTTAAAGAAGATAAGAAAGGGTCAAATAAGGATGCCTGGGTAGGAAATAAGTCGGAATTAGCATTGTGGAGGGAGCTTACTTGTCGTACCTGTCGAAAAAGGATTTTTAAATGAATTATTTAGCTCTAAAAGAAACATTTTTCTTTATATAAATCACTCACGATTTTGATCCCCAGAGGTGTGCCGCAGAGTTGACGAGCCTTTGAAATTGATGCAAATTTTAATACAGAATCTCAATATTGCAATAGAAATGGATTACCATGTGATGTGGAGGGTGGAGATGTACATGGCGTAGTTGACGCAGACCAACTCGCACGCCCCCAACGAGCCAAAGACGCTATGAAATATCCAGATCGGAACAATGTACATGCTCAGAACCAACAGCGGCCAGTAGTACCTGACAAAAAGGGCACAGTTTAATCAAAAAATCATGACCTCAATAAGTGTTTCCCTATGTACATACCTTGTCTGGAAATGTTGTTAAATATTTCTGTGTTTTGATAATTATAAAGTTGGTTATCTATATTATAAGCTGGAAATGTTTGTCTGCAACGGAAGTGAAAGTAATTTTCCACAACGGAAGTGAAAGTGGAGGAAGTTAAGTTTCGAATGGCGCGAAAATTCAAAAATTTTAATTTAAAACAAAATTATTCTTGATTTACAACCACTCCCAAATAACCAAACAGGATAATCAACTCCAGACAATCGCCGTCTGAAAACCACCCCCAGATAACCACTCCCAGAGAAATATCCCCATTAGTCCACCACCAGAGTGCCGCTCCCGGATAAGCACCCCAAGATAACCTCTCCCAGATAACCACCCCAAGATAACCAGTCAGATAACCACTGTCAGATAACCAGTCAGATAACCACTGTCCGATAACCACTCCCAGATAACAGCCAGTGGAATGCATACCTAGCAGTTCCGTGCAGTGCCCACATGTTTGCACTAAACAAGATCGCCATGTCGGGTCATAGACTGTTTGTGTTTAGTGTGCACATGTTTGCACAAAACAAGATCGTCATGTCGGGTCATAGACTGTTTGTGTTTAGTCTGCACATTTTTGGACTAAACAAGTTCGCCATGTCGGGTCATAGACTGTTTGTGTTTAGTCTGCACATGTTTGCACTAAACAAGATCGCCATGTCGGGTCATAGACTGTTTGTGTTTAGTCTGCACATGTTTGCACTAAACAAGATCGCCATGTCGGGTCATAGACTGTTTGTGTTTAGTGTGCATATGTTTGCACTAAACAAGATCGCCATGTCGGGTCATAGACTGTTTGTGTTTAGTGTGCACATGTTTGCACTAAACAAGATCGCCATGTCGGGTCATAGACTGTTTGTGTTTAGTCTGCACATGTTTGCACTAAACAAGATCGTCATGTCGGGTCATAGACTGTTTGTGTTTAGTCTGCACATGTTTGCACTAAACAAGATCGCCATGTCGGGTCATAGACTGTTTGTGTTTAGTCTGGACATGTTTGCACTAAACAAGATCGCCATGTCGGGTCATAGACTGTTTGTGTTTAGTCTGCACATGTTTGCACTAAACAAGATCGCCATGTCGGGTCATAGACTGTTTGTGTTTAGTGTGCATATGTTTGCACTAAACAAGATCGCCATGTCGGGTCATAGACTGTTTGTGTTTAGTGTGCACATGTTTGCACTAAACAAGATCGCCATGTCGGGTCATAGACTGTTTGTGTTTAGTGTGCACATGTTTGCACTAAACAAGATCGCCATGTCGGGTCATAGACTGTTTGTGTTTAGTGTGCACATGTTTGATGTATTTTGTTTGCATCGCTCTTTGTCGCCCTACGTCGCCCCGGGGTTGATATATCAGAGACCAAGGACCCGCAATTCACCAGGAGAGACACTTAATTCAGGCTTGAACGCGAACTACGAATTTATTTTTGTTACTACTGCTTGTCCGACAATGGAGTCTGTCCCTTCAACTTCGACATCTCGGGGCAGGAAGCACAGAGCATCACTGTCCGTCGAAGATATGGAAAAACTAAGAGCAGCAGATCGACTGCGAAAATCCCGTAAAAAAGATGAGGTCAACCGACAGGTGATTCCAGCGACTATTCTATGCGTGTATTTATTTGCAGACATGGAGGTTCGGGATTGTCGTCGAATGCCGTTGTCTTCAACTGAACGGTCCAGAATTCACAGAGCTGGCGAGTCGCTAAATGCAACAGAACGAAGGCGCAGGTCGGATAGGATCAGGGCCCAACAAAATCGAGCTGCAGAGACCGAACAAGTAGAAGCCGCAAGAAAGGCAAAGATTGCTGACCGGCTCAGACAGGTTCGATTAAGTCAAGAGAATGCTGACCCACCTGAAATACAATCCCTGGACAGCTTGGACGAGATTTCAATTGATGAGCATTACTGTGGGAAAATGAGTATAATTTGTGCCTCCTGCAGCTCCCGAAATTTTCCGGGAGAGGTCACTTCCAACGACACGTCCTTCACCAAGTGTTGTCAGAAAGGAAAAGTCGGCCTGCCCCCAGTTAGAACAACTGACCTCCTGGAAACTTTAATGAAAGGTCAACATGAAAAGAGTAAGAACTTCATGGAGTACATCCGGTCATTCAACAGCTCCCTTGCTTTTGCATCCGTCGGTGCTAACCTAACAAGTCCCCCTGGTCATGGCCCATACTGCTTCAGGATTCATGGGCAAATTTATCATCGTGCGGGTACACTACATCCTGAAGAAGGACAACCACGGAAGTTTGCCCAACTTTACATCTTGGATTCCGGCCTTGCTGCTGAACAGCGTGTGTCGCTAACCGAAAATTCCAAATGTTCCCCTGAGTTAATGAAAGAGTTAAGCAGTTTCATGGCTTTGAATAATCCTTTTGCAAAAGCGACAAAAATGTTACATGAAGTTGAGATTGAAGCGGAAGAGGAGGCCAGACGACAAAACCAACCAAAAAGCCTTCTCTTTATGGCCATCGTCCAGACAAAGGAAAGAGATATCATACGTTATAATGCTCCAAGAGCCAATGAAGTAGCCATTGTATTCCAAGGTGATGATGGTGAGCCTCCACTTAATTCATCTGAGAAAAGATCCCTCCAATCCTTCAGCCCCATCCACAAGGAGGATTAGTGTCTTAGACCCCCTATTGGACGCCATGATGTATCCTCTTCTGCATCCATTCGGAGATCCAGGTTGGTCGCCTGAGCTGAAGCACATCAGCGGCAACAATAAAAGAGTGTCTCAAATGGAATACTACGGCTATCGTTTCGCTGTCCGGAATTCATTCAATCCGTTCCTAAGCGCTGGGAAGCTTACGCAGCAGTATTTCGTGGACGCTTATATCAAGACGGAAGGAAATCGCCTTAATTTCATCAAGATGAATCAATCGAAACTGAGAGCCGAAACGTACAAGTGTCTGGCTGATTATCTCCAATCTGATGCAGGTGGAATTTACCCGGGGAAAGCTATCATTTTACCATCATCCTTTCAAGGCAGCCCTAGAAACATGCAGCAGCATTATCAAGATGCAATGGCCATAGTTCGACGATACGGAAAACCCGACCTTTTCGTTACAATGACATGCAATCCGAAATGGAAAGAAATCCAAGAAAATCTGGAGCCCAATCAACGGGCGTAAACCGCCCGGACTTGGTTTCTCGAGTGTTCCATATCAAATTGAATGAGCTGTTGGATGATATCGGAAAGCGCCATGTTCTTGGGAAGCAAAAGGCAAAAATTCACGTCATCGAATTTCAAAAACGGGGCCTTCCCCACGCTCACATTTTAATAATTTTGAGGCAAGAGGATAAACCTTCGACTGATGATAAAATTGACAAGTTGGTCTGCGCGGAAATTCCAGATCCAGTGTCCCATCCAAAACTTCATTCTATGGTTACCCACCATATGATTCACGGCCCTTGCGGGACCCAAAACATGAATAGTCCATGCATGGATGGGAATAATTGCACAAAGGACTTCCCTAAGGATTTCTCAGCTGAAACCATCGCCAGTATTGGAGGCTACCCGAGATACAGAAGAAGGGAAAATGGGGTCACCGCAACGGTGGGACAAAAATCGATCAACAACCAATGGGTCGTGCCTTATAATCCTTTTCTGCTGCTTAAATACAACTGCCACATCAACATCGAAGTTTGTGCTACAATTAAAAGTGTAAAATATTTATTCAAGTACGTGTACAAAGGGCATGACTGTGCAAATGTTGAGATTCGTGAGAATGCTAATCAACACGATGAAGTGAAGTCCTTTCTTGATGCTAGATATATCAGTCCTCCAGAAGCTGCGTGGCGGTTGTTCGGGTACCGAATGCACCAGCAAACACACACCGTTTCCAGACTGCAAGTCCACCTCCCTAACGAGCAGATGATTGTTTTTCAAAAAGACAGTATACCATCTGCTGTTAGGAACGCCGCCGCTACAGACACCACTCTCACGGCTTGGTTTAAGTTGAACCAGATTGACTCGGACGCAAGGAATTTATTCTATTTTGAAGTCCCAGAGCATTACATCTTTGAAAACTTGGCGGCCCAGGAGGATAACACAATAAAGCAGAAAATCTGGAGAAAAAGGAGGAACCGCCGTGGTGAAAAAACCATAGGCCGCATATATACAGTCAGCTTCTCAGAAACCGAGCGTTATTGCCTACGAATGCTTCTCCTCCACAAGAAGGGTGTTACGTCATTTGAGGATTTAAGAACAATCAATGGAACCATCCACGATAACTTTCAACAAGCCGCTGCTGCTCTGGGATTATTAGATAGTAACGAAATATGGGAAGAAACCTTGGACGATGCGGTGATATCTGGAATGCCATATCAATTGCGCCAGTTGTTTGCCCTAATATGCATTTTTGCCTGTCCAATGAATATTGTTTCTCTCTGGGAAAAGTACAAAGTCTCATTGATGGAAGATGATTTTGGTCACCGCCACCCAGAAGACTGTCAGCATTGTATGAACCTGGCACTACGAGACATCCAAGAGACCCTCGCTATTCATGGAAAATTCTGTAATGACTTTGGCCTCCCGAAACCAAGACCAGTCGGCTTAGGGGCACCCATCACCAACTTTAATCCTTTGGAGCAAGAGTTACTTGGGTTAGAAATGTCCCGTAATTTAAATGCTGAACAACTTGCTGCTTTCGAGTTAATTTGTGCCTCCATAGTTGACCCTACAGAGAAATCAAAATGCTACTTTATTGATGGACCCGGTGGGAGTGGAAAAACTTATTTGTATAAGACTTTGATCAGCACATTGCGAGGGGAGAACAAGATCGTTGTTTCAACAGCTTCCACTGGCATTGCTGCGAATCTCTTACCAAATGGCGAACTTATCACTCTCAATATAAGCTGCCAGTCCCACTGGTAGAGAACTCAGTGCGTCTTACCTCTGCTGATGCTAGACAAATAAAAGCATCAGATTTGTTAATTTGGGACGAGTGGACCATGGCTCCCAGGCACGCATTATCATCTATAGATCGCCTTCTTAAAGAAATCACGACGAAGGATATTCCTTTCGGTGGAAAAGTCTTGCTGCTTGGTGGCGATTTTCGACAAACACTTCCAGTGGTGCTCAAAGGATCAAGATCAGCAATTGTCGAAAGTTCCATTAAATTCAGCAATTACTGGGATAAATTTGCTAAGCTGACCTTGGTCCAGAATGTTAGGTCCGTTGACCTCGAATATAGCGAATGGCTGCTGAAGTTGGGAAATGGCGAGCTACTCAACTCGGACAATCTTCCCGACGATTTTGTGGAAATTCCTCTGGCAATGATTGCTGACAAGTCCATCGTCCAAGAAATCTTTGGTGAAAAACTAGGGACTTTTGAGGACGTCATGAATGTGCCCAACCGTGCAATACTGTGTCCCAAAAATGAGGATGCCCATAAGATCAATCGGGAAGTTTTGGATATCCTAGAAGGCGAGGAAGCGTCATATCTAAGTGTGGACTCCATTGAAGATGGGACAGAACAAGTCGCGGTTTTTTATCCGACGGAATTTTTGAATGGCCTCCACCCTTCGCCACCTCATATCTTACGACTCAAAGTTGGTGCTGTAATCATGTTATTGAGGAATCTAAACACCAAGCGTGGGCTATGCAATGGCACTCGCCTCATTGTAACAAAACTGCAAGTGAACTTAATCACTGCCCAAGTCTTAACTGGTTCTGCCGCCGGCCATTCAGTATTTATCCCAAGGATTCAACTAGCCCCTATAAACCCTGAAATACCGTTTGTCCTCCGACGGCGGCAATTTCCTGTGAATCTTGCATTTGCTGTGACCATCAACAAGTCTCAAGGCCAGACAATGGATTTGGTTGGAATTTATTTACCCGAACCCGTTTTTAGCCATGGCCAACTTTACGTCGCTTTTTCAAGAGTTCGTCGTTCCTGTGACGTGAAGGTTGTAATTGTGGATGGCGTAAAACAAGGGAAGTTAGTTAGAGGTGTTGACAAAGTATTTACCAGAAATGTTGTTTATAAGGAGGTGTTAGGTTAGATATCTAGTTATTATTCAATTTCTGTACTGTTTTAATGAATTTACTCAAACAATAAACCGGACAATTTACGAATTTCAATTTTCAAAATTCATACATAATATTGTGACGCATTCTTTATTGCCCCGCATAAACAGCATAGCATGAAAATTTGTTTGAAGATTTCTTTTTAATCTTTAATTTTCGAAGTGCTGTAAATTTATTTCACTTCCGTCAACATCAGAGCGTTTCAGAATAAAAAATTCATTGCGTGGTTAAACGCTTGCCCGGCGGGAGACGGGCTTATACGCTAGTTTTTATTAAATTACGCAAACAGTTCCGTTTCTGGAAAGTTTAAAAAAAATTACCCCAATTTAGGGAACACGAATATTAAATTTTAGATAACCTTATGAAAATCTCCTCCAAATTTTGTAGAACTTTGTAACGTGATAATTTTGCAGGGGAATTTGCACGATTTGACGAATCGATCCACGACGACGGCGAGTCTTGTATCTCCGCCACTCCCCACGACCGTTTCGACGTCTTCTGCGCCTCCATCCACGCCCTCTCGCCTCGACGACCACATCCTCCTCCTTTTGGTCCAAGAGTTGGAACAAATCCCCAAATTTGACACAAACTCGTCGCAACCGAGTCCCCTCATTTTCACCTCGATCGCTGCCACGCTGCCCGGAAATGGGACGGGACCAGACCTCGCTGCCCGGTACAAATCCATCCTGGCGAAAAATATTGTAGCAGCGAGAAATATGGGGTCACCTCCACCAGCACGGGGCGAACAGGACCCTGCAACCTACGCGATTCCGAACATTGATGGTCCACATGCGAAGGATTGCCGCGAGAGGCGTCCATGCACGCCTTTCAGTACTTGTTCTGCCGGCGGTGCTACCAGTACGATCCCAGAGGGCACAGTAAGTGGTCCACACCCACACTGAAAATCTGGTTGCATTGTTTAAACAAAGTTACATTTACAACTTATTTTGTGGATGTGAACTTTATCCAAAATCTTTCACATCACTTTTACGCGTCTCAAAGTCCTAAAAGTTTCAACTTTTTCCAGATCCTTAAAAGTGTCTCAATTTCCTATGATACATAAACAATTGTCTTACAATGAGTAAAAGTATTTGGCACACTCGAGAAAAAGAATTACAAATTTCTCAAACTATTCTTTGCAAAAATTGTAATTTGTGGCAAATTCCAAAAAGTCTCAAGTTTCTCAACTTTCCTCAGATCCTTAAACTGTCTCAATTTCCCAGGTTGCACAGTTCGTCTCAAATTCCCACTCTGGTGCCCAATCTCAGTTCTCGTCTCATCTTTTCATAGCATCTTTTCTCAAAATTTTCCAGATGGTGACGACCACATTGACCTCAACACTCGTCGACCTCAGTCCTCGACCACTCCTGCTCCATTCTTCTGCCAAAACCCGGCCTGTTTCCTAATAAAGTCCGAATTTCCTCCTCCCCCCGAGGTGGCGGAGGAGGTGGTCTGGACGGCTGGGGAAAAATCCCTCTTCCGCGCCATCCTCCCCTCCTTTCCCGACCCCGGCTACATTGCGCACCTCCTGCTCACCAAAACCTGCGCCCAAGTCGCCACCTTCGCCGCCATCCTCCCCGCATTTAGATGGATAGAAACATTGGTGAAATTTATGCAGCATTTCAGATCATTAATATTGTCTCGCAAGCTTAAGTAATAATTAAATTTCATACGCACTTATAACAAATTTTTAGACTTTTATAAATGATCACATTTATATTAGTTTTTTGTACAGAAACAATAAGAAATCAAGAGTAAGATTCAAAAAAAACCCATCACCATTTATATAAAGGATAAATTTAATTAATTAACCTACTTACAAATTAACATTTAGTATTACAACTTATACCGATTGACAAGAATTTCAGTATTTGACCATGATTAATTCTCTCTTTGTATGTAAATACTACACAGGCCGGGGATGAAGAAATTACTGAAAAATTTTAACAAATTGGAACCTTCTCTCTTAATTTTCCACTCGTGGAAAAACTCGCGTATGCAACAAATTCATTAACTAATAGGAATAGTTATAATTAATTAATTAATAATAATAATTAACGAATAGGGTTAACCCTAAACTTCTTCTGGAATGGTTGGAACTGAGTGACTAATCTATTTTTGGTTTCATTGTTCCCTCATTTGTTCAGTAGTTTGGCTGAGATTTCATGAATAAGATTTAATTAAAAATAGAAATTTCGGGACCCATTATGACACGCATAGCACCACCTATTCCTTATTAGGATTAGTCGCCGTTGCCGTCGCCGCCGCCGGTGAGGACTGATTAGTACGATAAGTGATTATCTGCACGTCGTCGTCATCATCGTCGTCATCTTTTGGTTTGATTTTGACGGCGTTTGTCAATGCAGCAACAAGATTAGACGGGATGACGGCATCGAGACGAACGGGAGGTTTCAAATGGATGATCCCAATGTCGTAAGGGATCGGAGAAATCTCATCGGAAACGTCCTGCAGCAAAGTGTAGAGCTTTTCCGGCTCTGAAGTGGGGGGAATTAAATCAATCCAGCTTTGCACACCATCCATTAGTTGCGCTGTAGAGGAAAATTTGAGTAAAATGTGGACAATTTTTTAGGGGAAACTTGGCACAAAATTTCTAGCACCCACCGAAATTGTGTTCATCTTCTTCTACCCGCGGTCCCCGGCTGATGAGGTCATCTTCATATTCTGAACCCTCACATTCCTGCACCTCGTCTTCCTCATCCTCGAGTGGTTTGACATCATCCACGGCAATGAGGTCATCATCATCATCTTCATCGTCATCGTCGTCGTCCGTCATGGCGAGGAAAGATCTCTTGTGACCCGTGGAATCCTTCTCTGATCCCATCTTTTCAACATAAATGTGCATAAATATTTATATAGCTCATAATAAATAGATGAATCAAAGGAAATTAAAATTCGGCTTCGAGTAAAAAATAAAATATAGGCACCTTGACTGGAGAATTTGGTTCCAAATTCGGCTGCTTCTTCACTTGAACTTTCTTCCAGAATACAGGGGTGAAGAGCGTTTCCAAGGAAGAAGAAGAAACAGACGAACTGGTAGCTCCCTCCGCTTCGTCGTCGTCGTCGCACTGGTTCATGTAGCTCAACTTTTTCTCTCCAGCCGTCCTTTGCGTAGGGACGTATTCCGACAACCAATTCCGGGGCTTGACCTTCATATCAACCTTCGCGGCTGGCGATGAAGAATCGTTCTTCTTCTTGGGAGACTGTTTTTTCAAAGATGCTCCTCCAGGGGTAGACTTTTTCGAGGAGGGCTGCTTCTTCTTCTTCATTTGGTCTTCTACTTTTACTCTATCAATCAAGACCACCGGTTGCACGGATAACTCTGGAATCCAATTCAATATTAGTTTTGAAACATTTTCAAAATTTGTACTAAATATTTCCCACAAAAATTGTCATCTATATTTGTAAGCTGTTTTACCTCTCTCAAAAACAATAAAATATTTCTTACGCGTTAATTTATCCTTTTTGGCATTACTAGCAGCTCCTTTCGGCTCGACCACCACGGCTTGCTTCCTTTTGACGGCCTTCCGTTTGGCGGGTAGCGGTGCGATGGCAGCCTTTGATTTAATCTTCCAGAGTGACACCTTCTTGGGTGATGAGGGCGGACTGGCGGCTTTTGCGCCCTTCTTGGACTTCACAGTCAGTGGTTTTCTCGCCCTTTTCGTCTTATCCTCGGACGCCTCTTCTTCGGCAACGATGTCACTTTCCCAGTAGTAGCAGACAACTCTCGACGAGGTCTCTTGCTCATCGGAAGCGTTAAATTTTGACTCCGAGACACGTTTCGACATCGTTTCAACCGTCCGGTACGGCCACATCCGGGGGGAAGGAGGTGGTCGTAATTTTCCAATTTTATATGCACACAGAAATTGGGGAGAAGACCCAAGTTGTATCCTGGAAGAGAAGACGTGGCAGATTTTTAGTAAAACTTGCATGAGCATTTTCACAAGAAAAAAAACTAGACAATTAGTTATCTGATGGCCTTCTTACTCCGAATGACGGGTTCCCTAAACTTCTCCCAGACGACATTCCTCTTCGCCGCGGTGCGACTGCTGCTCGAAACTGGCAGTGACTTTTTCGTCAAACTGTCACTCGCTCCATCACGGACAAAACTACCCAAAAGCTCGACCTTCGACTGGAGCAGAATTTTAGATTTTTTAATCTATCCCAACATTGAAAAATAATAGTCAGCATCTCCTCAGCAGTTGATGCTTAATTAATTAATTAACTGCACACTTACCTGTTGGATTAGTCCGCTCACCTCCCGCACAACCAGGGCACACCGGTCGCAAAAGGTGAGTCCTCCTACGTTCTCGACGTAGCGAAAGTCTGTGGCGGAGACGTGAAGATCTCCGAATATTTTCATCGTCGCGTGCTTGATGCTGGGCGAGTGTGCGGAGGACGCCGAGGTGCACAGGGCATCGCAGTAGAGACATAATTCTTGTGTGGAGCAGGGCGTAGGTGAGGTCATCGCTCCACGGCTTGAAGTCATCCTCAAAACGGTGAAAGAAGGACTGCAAAATAATTTAGAAAAAGTTTGCTTAGATAAGGCGCTGCTAAAAGTGAAAAATAAGACCTCTGGGCATATCTTTTAAAAAATATATTTATTTAAAAGCCTCATCATTGTTACAGGAATTGATGGCTTTGTATCACCGCAAGACCGAATATTTACGCTAAGATTTTAACAATAAATATGACAAACAAAACCAAACAATATACCAAAATCAACTTTCTTACCTGGTCTTGGTCTTTTCCAACTTTGGTGATTGGTGGGTGGTGTGGCTCGGCCCTCACTCAGGACGACGTTGCTTTCGTTTAGAAATGGATAATCACGCCAAGTAAATTAAATTAATGATGACTGAAAAATCCAGATGGCAATTTTCACTTTTCACTTTTAGTTGACGACAATAGAGGAGAAACTTTGTCCTCGTGTTGTAGTCAAAGTCAGGCGGGTGGCGAGAGGCAGGTTGAGACTCACTCACTCGCTACCCACTCACTTTCTCCATATAAAAGATAACCCATCTAGCTTATCATCTTGATGCGACTAATAAATATGCATTCGATTCAAGAGAAAGCAGTTTCTTATTGATTATTTTTCTAATGATAAGCACACAATTTAACAATGTCACATAAATCTCGACGATATTGAATTTTATTTCATGTCACTCCTTTTACATATACGTACGTACGATTAGTACAAATTATCAAATATTTGGCTCTACCTTATCACGACGAATTGTTATTGCTTATCTTCGTCTCTGCCGTGCCATTATTTATCACACCTGCTCCTGCCTCCTTGTACTGCAGGATGAATGTCCGTGCGGCGGGTGTGGTGGCGTCAGAGACCACGATCACGATCGCCATGATCTGAACCCGTCCTTCTTCACAACTGCTGCTGCTGCTGCGTCCACTGCTGCGACTGGCGGAAATGTCCCAAGTCGACTCTTCGTACCGGGCTTGATGGCGTTGATAGATTAGGGCGGGGAATGAAAAAGTTGGAGATGAAGATTCCACCCCCAGCGATCCAAAATGACCAGGCGTACTTTCCCGTGTAGTCGTACAGGAGGCCTTAACGGAGAAATAAGGGGTAAGCTCCAGTCACAAATTCTAGTCAAATTTATGCAGAAATGAATGTAAAATACCAGCGATGGGTGGTCCGATCAGTTTCCGATCCCTTGCACGAGTAGGAGGAGACCGTACGCGGGGGTAAACTTTTCCAAACTGACGACCTAAACGTTAAGCAGGTAATTATTAGTTATCATTCACTTTCACTAATTAATTACGTCTGGCTATGATTTTTCTCTCGTTACTTGAAGAAGGATGACGGGTGTGAGTGAGTAATTTGCCGCAATCATCAAGCCAAAGACTCCGCAGAGCAAGACGAGGAAGTAGTAGGTGAGCCCCATGCTGAACAACTTTCCAAAGAGGCAGGGCATCAGGCCAGTCACGATGCCACAAATGGAAATACACAAGCCATAAATCGTCACGGAATTTGCCCACTTCTTGTCCCCCAAATACCCCAAAATTATCTGCAAAACGAAATCACAAATAAAAGTTGAATAATAATAATTAATACTTAATTTCCTAATTTAACGGATTAAATTTCTTTACATTTCCGAAAACGGTTAAAAGTCCGATCGTACTTCCCAACATGGCTCCTTCCGAGTAGCCCAAGCCCGTGGCAGTGTCGGCAAGAAAGGTCAATGGGGTTCGACCGGATGGGGTTCGACTGGTCCGCAGATGACGTCCGGGATCACGGCGGGCGTTTCCGAGCTCAGCATCGCGTCCTCCACGAAGGGCGTCATGAAGTCTGCGCAGACGTCGAAATTGAACGGGTCGTCGGCCCTCTTGGGAGGACCCGGCTCTCGGTCCAGTTCCGCCGGGGGGGGGGGTCGGCGTCATGGGCGTCGTCGTCGACTTTGTCAGCTGTCTGTCCGGCGGCGTCATGCGTCTCATCGAGACCTCCGTCGTACTCGATGACGTCTCCCTCCACCACGTCATCAACGCCCTCACCAATCTGAGCCAGGAAACTATGGAAATCGCTTATTCCAATCGGGTCAGAAATTTGTCAAAATTTCAAATTAAATCAGCAATTACATATCATTTATTAAATAATTTTATCTCAACTTTCCCGAGTTGAGATAAAGTAAAGTCAAAATCCGAGAAAATCAGGTTATTTTAATTTGTTTTTCGGACAAATTTCACTCCTTAAAATCCCAACCCTTCCCGAAAATCGTGCAATAATCCGAAATTAACTCCCCTCTTTCCAGGAACCTTCCCTCTTCGCAGTGGCCAAGCTGTTGGAAATCGGTCTGGTGAACCTGGACCGGGTAGAAATCTACTGGCGGCCTTTGACGAACCACCTCCTGGAAGTGTGTCGTCACCCGCACATCCGAATGCGGGAGTGGGGCTCGGAAGCCATCACCTTCCTCGTCCGCTCCGCCCTGCTGCACGAGGAGAGCAAGGAGGACAAGGTGGCCGGCCTGCTCCTCAGCTCCCTATGCGAACTCTCCTCCGTCCCCCGCAACCAGGGAAAATGAGATTCTAAAGGAAGAACTGTAGTAACTTGGGCGGTGAAGCCGCATTGAGAGACACGAGAGCCGGTAATATTCGTCTAATTTTATTTTGTCCAGCCTCTTTTTCCACCACCGTCACCACTTTGCTTCAGTTTTTTGGCAGCCAGCCACCACCATGCTTTATGTACTCCTCCGCTCCAAATCAGTTCACCATATGCTTGCTCTCTTGCATAAAATTTGTGTTTACATTTCTCACTACAATTAAATTTGTAAAAATAATTACCCTAGTGGTTTTTGTAATTACTATCAACATGACAAATGCATAAAATGCTATTGGAATTGCGTTCTTGCTGAATTAATTAATTGGAAATACTGAGACACATAAAGACGTCTGAATGCAAGAGGTCAAACCTTCCCGTTTGGTCACACCCGGCGTGTCTCCGCCGTCGCAAGACGTGCCACGGCCGCCGGAACGTGGCTTATCGTCGTCATCACCGTCGCCACAACGTGCATGGTTGGAAAAGTTTCTTAAAGAATTAATGTTGTTTGGTATATTGTTGTCTTCAGAACCAGAGGTAATCATTTGGGCCATTTATGAAAGAATTGAGTTGTATTACAAACAAAGACATATCAACATATTAATTATTCTTCTCGAATTATTTTTAGGTGCAATATGTAGCTCTGAGAAACATCAATTTGATTGTGCAAAAGCGACCCGCTTGCTGCCAGCAGTTTAACCGAAATGACTCGAGATTAGTGGGACATTTAGTCGCAGATACTTTAAATATAATTAATTTTATACATATCTGGAGATTGTAAAAAGAAAAAGATTTTCACTCATTTCGTACGTTTATTTCAGAAATAGTAAAATATATATGGACATGACATTCACAAACCGAGCAATACAAGGAATGTCTGGATTTGCAGTTAAATTCAATAAAAATAGTTTTGGGCTACTTCCAAATCAATCCTGTGGGGCGCCTTTGCCCGTTAATACTACTGGTCCTGTATGCATCATTCATAACTTCATTCAGACTTTCCATAATCCTTTCTGGCTGAACTTTTACCCTCGATGGACGAAGTTTCTGTTGCAGTTGGCGAATCCTTTTTTTGTTGTCCGTGGTTGAACTTGGACTGGTTTCAGGTGACGAAATGTTGGATTGAGGTCGAGGACTAGATACGGATGACGATGGGGAGCAAGGCGACTCGAAGCTTCCACTAATTTCCGGCTGCGACACGTCCAACGACGGCGGTGACACGGCAATTGATGTTACTTCTTTTGGTAAAATAGGGATGAATTTAATACTGGGACTAGGTCGGATAATTTCACTGGGTGTAGAAACTGTTAATAATTGCTCCTGCGACACAAAAAATCTTGATGGAAGGGCGGATGGTTTTAGTCTTCTTAGAATTGTTAAACTGATCATCCTTAAAATGTAGGTCGCAAATCATGGAGACGGGGGGAACATTTTGACAATCGAGATCCAAATACTCACACCACTTCTTGAATCGAAGCGATAGAAAATATTGCAACTTAATATTCTTTATTAGAATGCCAAAATTATTTTCCATTTAATTTATTAACACGCCTGACCTGTCTGGCTGGGATGGAAATTGATAAAACTGAGCTTCCGGATTTTTATGTTTTGTTTTAGCACACCTTGGATATTTACAACAGGTTATTTTCAGTGTCCTTGGTGGTGGTGACCCCCACGGCTGGGTCACTTCATTTGAAGGCAGGGACACGTGGAGGCTGGAAAATATTAACCCAATGTATTTAATGTCTTAATTTAAAAAAAAATTGCTCAAGTAATGTTTACAGTACGTGTGCATGTGTATTATATAATTTAATGTGCAAATAGATATGTGTACTTACCATGTACTGCCGAGGGGTACACTGTTTAATTGCAAGTAACTTTTTTAAATAATTAATTGAAGAAATTTAAGCTGGCTAAAAATCGATCGGACTGGAACTGTATTTTTCTTTGCCACGCAAAGGAAACCATGTGGTGGTGATTGAATTGCATCAGCTTTTTCTCATGCTGAAACTGCACACAGTTATTTGGCCGATCTGTTAAAGCCGCCCATTTGCAGGAAGAACAAAATAATATTAAGCTCCGCTGGTTGGCTGCTGAGCTCTTCCATAAGCTTCACTCAAATACATTGCATGAGTCGTTCCTCTTCCCCTAGTTTATTTCATATTCCATGCAATCACCCCAAAGCCCTCCGTGGCGCTCAACTACGCCTTGTTGTTTATATACCAACCTCACATCCATCGGGAATTAACGTCAAACATCACTGAATACTTTGAATTCATATTCACTCATCACTGGACGACGAAATTTCCATTCACAGGACTGGGTGATTGATTACAAAGTCAAAAAATTTTTAACATTTCACATTGTGCTAAAACCATTATACTGAGGTTGTCAGCTGAAAGGCGCTCACCCGTCGTGATCATTGATTTTGGATAACACATTTCCGTTTTACCGTTTGGCTACATTTTTTTTAGTTTGGTTAAAGGCTTACATTACAACATTACGATTAAATCCACCGTCATCATGTCTCACAAACAGGTAAAAATAAAATTTAATCCAAAGAAAAATAACGAATGTGTTTTATTTGGGAATAAATAATTATCAGACTCGCGTATTTTTTTAGAGGTTTAGAATGAATGATTTTTAGTCGCTTGAAAGTTGTTTTTAACAAGTTTTAAATGTCATCAAGAAGATAACGTGTTGAAAAAAAATTATTTGAAAAAAAATATTTAAAAATTATTTAAAAAGAAGATACGGCAAAAATTAAGATTTAATAGGTACAACTTTTAAAGACTGGTTGATTCCAGGCTGCTTCCACTGCAACCCCACCTGTCAACTGGAAAGAGACTAAAGTAATTTTGCAAGAGCCAAAGTCACCCGATCCCTCACCTCCTTCTGCGTAAGACATTGTTTATCAATGTTTTCGATTGTGATTCACCACATTGATTTTACTTTTTGATCTTTATTATATTGCAGTCTGCCAGGCCTAATAAAAATTGATCAACTGGTGAGGCAACTTTGTTGAAATTGGTGTGATTTACTATAATGCAAGTAACAATTTATATTTAACCAACAGGTAATGAGAGAAATCTGCAAATATCTAACAATATCAGACATTAAATCATTGCGAACAGTGGACAAGGTTTGGAACCACGTATCAACTTTGGAATTGACAAGAAGAGCAGCCCTCAGGTTGAATATTCGGTGTGGCAAAAACGAGATCACATTGATGAGGCTGGCAAGATTAGAAGAAGAATTTCATCGGCTGGCCAATATCCAAACCGTGCACGTCAAGCTGATCTGGGATGCAGACTTTGAAATATATGGACGCCATGTTGTAGGACCCTACTTTAATCAAGTTTGTAATTCGCTCAAAAATTCATTTCTCAAACCAAGACGACTCTATCTCGATTTTGCGATCAAAGTGCCATAAGACATGGAGTTTGTCAAGATTATTTTGAAAAAGTTTTCACCAGACTTGGAAGAAATACATCTAATCTTTAATTCGATTGGGGAAGGAAAGCGTACCGTCAAAGGCTTGTTTTTTCTCGACACCGACATTGGATTTCCTAAATTGACAAAATTGTGTATCCCTAAACTACTCGACAGCCAGGTAGATATGGACATTGGAGAAAGGTTTCTGAGGTCAATCTTTATCGGTTCTCCTCAAATCAAAGAAATCAAGGTTGGAGATTTGGGATCACGGTTTTCCGATAAATGTAGTGTCCTGGAAGCTCTTAAGAATTCAGATGGATCCAGAAATCAGCTTCTCCCAAATCTGACTGCATTTGATTTGGATTCTGGTAACCGGTTTTTGAAGGAGTTTCCACAGAATTTCACCAGATTAGCAGTAAATCATTGTGACTCGTACGAACTCATCACCAAAAATGCCCAAACACTTGAATCATTGGTTGTATACGAATACTTTGACGAAGACCAACGCATTATTAGGCCTATCCCATCTTGTCCAGTGTTGAAGGAGCTTGAAGTAAACATGGCAGAAGTGGTCCCAACTTTTGTTGTTGAAGGTCCAGTGGAATTAGGAGTGAACTATGCAGAAAAATTTTCCACCCTAACCACTCTTCGAATCAAGGCGACGCATAATTTAGAATTGGCCATCCATATATTCTTTAACCCCAGTGGAAATCAAACCTGCCCTACCCTCAATATCCTGGAAGTCCCTATTTCAATAATGACCATACCTCCTTTTGGTAATTTGTTATTATAATTAATGGATATATGCATGGATAGTACAAAACTTGAATATTTTTTGTTTACAAATTATAGTTGATGTCGAACAGTATAGAGAGGAGCGGGAAGTGTACACAAACGGAAATGAAGAAGAAAAAACGTCGACCTGGATGGATAAACTTGGCAAAATATTTACCAACGCAAAAATCTACCTCCGGAGGGAATGAACAAACTGGTTTTGACGTTCAACACTGGTCAGCGTCATCATCTTATTTATTTATTTCGTTGTAATAGTTGTCATTATTACATTAGCCTAACAATACTAGTTTTATTTGTTGCTCTGTATTCGATATATATAGGATTGCTTACAATCGTATTTGTTTAAAAAATAAGGATTGTAAACTCATGAGCGAGCTCATCATTAATGGGAGGATTTTCATTCGGCTTGAAATTATATTTACTACTGATGGTTGTAGTTAAATTTGTCGTCGGTAGAGTGTTCATTTGAATTAATTTGTATGCATTTGACTACGTAGTGCTGTTCCGATCCATACTTGCATGTATTCGAATTGAGCATTTTTCTCCAGACCCAACGAATGGGATATATAGTAATGTTTGCAAGTAAAGTTTATTACGTTCTAATTTGAAGGTGTCACAGTAGCCTAATCTAACCATGAATTGATCAAGTAGCATTTGAATATTTGAATAAAATAAATAAATCTGCAAAATCCAGTCTTTTATCAGACAATGTCTCAAACTCCTTTCATGTTGATGTCGTCGAGTCTTATCCTAATGCATTTGCCTCAAATTATGAGCAGGCAATCTATACAACTGATAAATTTGAAGTACTCATTGCATACCTCTAAGTAATTTTGTTCCTACTGAGATTGGTCAGTAGTATTATTATCATTCAAATAATGGTCCTGTGATGTTCCCCTGAAAAGGTCCTCTTGCTGAGTGATGTGGTGAAACAAAAGCAGGTATCACAATTTTTAATTGGCAAAGAGTTTAATATTCACGACAGATTATTAAAACGTGAAAAATTTAAATACATGACCCTGAACTACTGCCAAACAACGTGTAAGGTATAAATTTGAGTCGTTAATTAACGAACGACAAACGTCTTCACATTCGTATGCACATGTCATCACTGGCACCAGTGTGCTGTGTGTACTGCACAAGGTCAACAAGTGTGTCACATCATCACTGACTCAAACCTGTATCACATCAGCCCACGTCGCCCAACATCGCCCCGCCTCGCCCGGGGTTCATATATCCCGAGACAAAGTACACACGATTCGCCATGAGGACATTTAAAATCGTTTTATATATCGTTGTATAACTCGGATCGCACAGCTTTATTAACGCTGAATTTCAGCTGAATTTCTTGTTTTTTTTTATATTACTCTTAGTTCTACCATGGAATCTATCCCTTCAACTTCGACATCTCGGGTGAGGAAGCACAGAGCATCACTGTCCATTGAAGACATTGAAAAACGAAGAGCGGCGGATCGAATTCGAAAAGCCCGTAAAAGAAGTGAATCCAAAAGACAGCAGGCGGATACAAGAATTAACGAATTGAATGCTATTGACCAGGGTATTATATTTTTTTATAAATAAAAAACTTTAAAATCTTTTCTTTAGAGATTACACAAGCTAATTTAATTTTCTTGATTACAGAAATCAACAATGTCGATGCCCAAGTACCTAAAATGTCAGAATTTATAGCAAACTACCAACAACATTCAAATGGTACTGCGGATCATGGGTTACTCTTTTTCGTTAATTTTATATTAATTGCCTTGATTCGTAGTTACCGAGATGGAGGTTGCGGAGTGCACTCTAACGCCGTTGTCGTCAACCGAGCGGTCCAGGATCCACAGGGCTAGAGCGTCGGCAATTGCAATAGAGCAAAGGCGTAGGTTGGAACGGATAAGGGCACAACAAACTCGTGCAGCAGAGACTGAACAAGAAAAGACAGTAAGAAGGGCTAAGGATGCTGAACGGCATAGACGAGTTCGTTCGAATCGTAAGAAAGATGCAGATGATTAACCAGAAACCCAATCTTTGAACGCGTGGGACGAGATTCGAATTAATGAAGATTACTATGGGAAAGAATAACTAACTGTACTTCTCTGCCAACAAGGGCCACCAAGAAGGAGAGGTTGGCTTACAAAAAAAATGTTGTATATAATTCGGTGCTGGTTAGGTTCTTGACTATTATTCCCTCTTGTTATTTTTTTGCTGCATTGATACGATATCGAAACAATAAACCGTTCAAATAAAGATTTTCAAGCATTTCATACAGAATTTTATTATTACCCTGTACAAATATAATAATAAGAAAGTGTATAGTTAGTTTATTTTTTAACTAGCGTACAAGTCCGTCTCCCGCCGGGCGAGAGATGATTAGATTATCAAAATTTCACCAGTTAAATATTTTGGATATATTTATTTTAAAAAAACAATTTGACGCGAACGGAAGTGAAAGCAATTTGCAACACAAGTTAAAGTGGACAATTAAATGTCACCCACTTGGCTCTGTCACCTCTACCATCCCAGTCTGCCAGTGGCAATAGTAGTGCCACTGGCAGTTTATCTGGCACCCCACTTGGATCTGCCATCTCTGCCAGCCTAGTCTGCCATTGGCAACCACACCCAAACGACAATCCATTAAATAACTACTCCCAGATAACCACCGCGAGGCAGCCACACCCTGACAACCACCACCAGATAAGCATCATCAGATAGCCCCCAAGATAACCAAAATCAGATAATTACTCACAACATAACCGCTACCAGGCCGCCACACCCCGATAACCCCTTTCGATCTTGTTTAGTGCAAACATGTGCACACTAAACAAATACAGTTTATATGACACCAAAATCTTGTTTAGTGCAAACATGTGCACACTAAACAAACAGTTTATGATATGACACCACAAACATGTGCACACTGCACGGAACTGTTAGTGCAGTGGTATGCACTGCACTGGCTGTTATCTGAGAGTGGTTATCATGGATGCTTATCTGGGGGTTGTCTGATGTTGATTATATGGGAGTGGTTGTCTGATCGAGGTTATCTTGTGTGGTTGTTTGGGAGCGGTTGTAAGTGAAAGTTTGCCTCAAATTAAAAAGTTTTGAATTTTCGCGCCATTCGAAACTTTACTTTCACCACTTTCACTTTCGTCGAGGACGAATTCCTTGGACAGACATTTCCAGCTTATAATATAGATATAGAATATAGATCATAAATTTTCCATGCGTCGCAAATTAATTTCATTTCCATCGACGCCAGAGGTTCAAATAAAAAAAATAAATTGTGTGGAAAAATTCTCGCCCGGTGAAGACGGGCTTATACGCTAGTGCATTATAATACTGGTGTAGGGAATGACGGAAAAGTTTAAACTTAATCACTTTAGAGGTTTTGATTATAAAAAAATTATCAAGTGGAATAGGTTTGTGTTGTCAATATAAGAGACTAGCATATAAGCCCGTCTCCCGCTGGGCGAGAGTTGATTTTTAAAATTCCACCAATGAAAAATTTTGAAGAGATTTATTAACTGACACCCTTTAAAGTCAACGGAAGTGAAAGAAATTTAGAATTGATGCTTTAGCGGCAAATTACAAAATTGAAAAAATCTCACAAAATCCCCATTTGTGCGGAGTTTTGAATAATATAATGTATGAATGCGTTTTCAGTTCGAAAATCACAAGAAACTTTTATTTATTGATTGAATTAATTCATCAAACCTTTATAAAATGAACAAAGAATAAACATTTAAACCAATGCTTTTATTATTAACAACACTTCTTGTAAACACCTTGTCGACAATCTCTAACTTTGGGAGCTGCAGGAGGTACACATTAAATTCACTTTACCACAGTAATGCTCAGCAATTGAAATCTCGTCCAGGGATGATGGGTCAGCATACTCTTGACTTACTCGATCCTGTCTCGGCCGGTCAGCAATTTTTGTCTTTCTTGCAGCTTCTTCCTCTTCAGTCTGTTCTGCAGCTCGGTTTTGTTGAGCAACCTCCATGTCTTCAAGTAAATAAACACAATGAATGTAATATTAATTAATTAATAACAGGATGAAATTGTTGATCTCGTACAATTAGAAGTTTTTTCGTCAGCAGAGATGATTTCAATATCCGAAGTAGAAGTTTCCTGGGCAGCTACCATCTCGATATCTGTAATCAATGTACACTACGCTACTATAATTAATTGCATAATGAAAGCTATAAACAAAATATTTCAACACTTCTTTACTATTGCCAATATCCAATTGGCTAGCTGCAGGAATCACCTTACGATTTGCCTCTTCTTTTTTACGGGATTTTCGCAGTCGGTCTGCTGCTCTTTGTTTTTCCCTATTTTCAACCGATAGCGATGCTCTGTACTTGCGCATCCGAGATGCAGAAGTTGAAGGTATAGACTTCATTGTTGAACAAAGAGTAGTAAAAACAATTCGTAGTTCGCGTTCGGAATGAATTAAATGCATCTCGTGGTAAATTGTGGGTACTTGGTCTGGGTATATATCAACCCCGGGGCGACGTGGGCGACATTGGGGGATGCAAACAAAATACATCTCGGGGTGAAATGAATCCCACGTCCCAATGTATTGCACATGCACATGCACAGTATGTGCATTGTGCCCTTGTTTGCACTAAACGAGATCGACATGTCATGTCATAAACTGTTTGTTTAGTGTGCACATGTTTGCACTAAACAAGATTGAAGTGTCGAGTCTTGAACTGTTTGTTTAGTGTGCACATGTTTGCACTAAACAAGATTGAAGTGTCGAGTCTTGAACTGTTTGTTTAGTGTGCACATGTTTGCACTAAACAAGATTGAAGTGCGAGTCTTGAACTGTTTGTTTAGTGTGCACATGTTTGCACTAAACAAGATTGAAGTGTCGAGTCTTGAACTGTTTGTTTAGTGTGCACATGTTTGCACTAAACAAGATTGAAGTGCGAGTCTTGAACTGTTTGTTTAGTGTGCACATGTTTGCACTAAACAAGATTGAAGTGTCGAGTCTTGAACTGTTTGTTTAGTGTGCACATGTTTGCACTAAACAAGATTGAAGTGCGAGTCTTGAACTGTTTGTTTAGTGTGCACATGTTTGCACTGCACTGTAGAATAGTGTCGATGTTGATATCTTGGGTGATTATCTAGGGGTTGTGAGATAGTGATTATCTGGGTGTGGTTGCCAGACGGTGATTATCTATGTGTGGTGTGATGGTGATTATGTGTGAGTGGTTGTCTGATCGAGATTATCTTGTGTGGTTATAAGTGAAAAAATAATTTGGTTTTAAATTAATATTTTTGAACGCCGTTCAAAACTTTACTTTCTCCATTTTCACTTCCGTTCCGGAAAATCACTTTGACTTCCATTACCAAGAGACATTTCCAGCCTTTATTAGAATAATTAATTATATGGTTGAACTGTGAAAAATTTGAATGAGAAGTCTTAAAATGTGTTGAGAATTAATTAAAAAACATTAAATCGTGTAATGATTAACTGCTCGTTTTTATTAAATGAATTGAAAGGGGCAGACTATACAGACCAGAATCAATAAAAATTTACAAACTGGCCAATCTAATGAATTCAACAAATCAATCTTTAGGCAATTGGTAATAATAATAACAATAATAATAATAATAAACCTAAAAATTAGACTTTCATCAAGAGTTACAAGAACATTCTCTAGTCTGTATCCTCATCTGAATTAATGGACATTGTTTCATCGTCAATTGTTTCGTCGCAATCTGACCCGTCATCATCATCATCCCCACTAGCGGATTCACTGGTCGAGTAATCGGATTCTGACGTTTGCGGGTTAAAGTTGACAGCTTCATCATCCTCCGCCTCGTCGTCGCCATCTTCATCCTCATCATCATCATTTGGGTCTTGAGAGAGGTAGGGTTGCTCCTCGTCATGCCGGACCCTGTTTGCCAGAGCCTCTTGCAATGCGTCAACCGCGTTGGTTGGAATCAATACTCCCACTTGGTTTATGGGATCAGATTTTCCGTCATCCCGTTTCCTAAAGACGGTCATAAAGATGGATTGAGGACACGCACTAAGGACAGTGGTGAGCTCGTGCCATGCGGAAATGACATCTCCCACAATGACATGTCGAATAGCGCATCGAACTCCATCCTCACATTTGGACGAACAAAGGGGGGACTCGATGTCAAGCATTTTGTGGTGGCAAGTGTTTAGCTTTGCAGTCATTGACAAGATCCTATTCCACCATGTTTTCGCCTCAACGGGACAGTCCAGCTTTTTCCAATTGAATCGTTGAATATGGTCAGCATCAACTAGACGATGCTCAACATTATAAGGAGTATACAATCGAAGCTTTGTCGAGTTTTTCCTGTGTTTTATTGCACAAATAATTTGATTTTCTCCCTTGATGTAGTAGTCGACACTAGCACTAGGAGAGTCATTAACAACGAGTTGTAACTTATTCCATGGGAGTCCCCTATCTACAAGTATGGTCCAGAGGCTGACTTGACCACTTCTTAGCGGGTAGATTACATCATACTTGGGGTTGCTTTTTAGTTTACACAAGAAGCTAACAAGTTTCAAACCATGGTCAAATTGACCAATCTCTTTTGCATGATCCAACTCGGTCTGGGCGGCGCAGGTGAATAAGGCGTGAAAGTACTTTTGAGTGTCAATCTTCATTCCAAGCACACGGTTGTATACTTTTGCCAAGGTTTTTGAGTTTCTCCCGACCGTTGGTTTCCCCAAACCACCACCATCATTCTCGTCGTCCCCCTTGGTCACAAGTCCTGTTGCGTAAGCATCCTGTGCATATTCAACCATGTCGTGGCGCTCTATCCGTGCCACAAACTCACTTATCACCTTACGGCACGCCAGATTTGATACTTTTGCATCGATGGAGAGACAAGTGTCCAAGTCAACCCCAACCCGATCTCCACTTGATATCGCAGCTTGTTTGGCCAGACGCTCCACGTTGCTCACGACAAAGCGCAACTGTCCGGGAACATTCGTGGTTAGGATCTTGTAACTTGGAGGATATTTCTCTCCGCTTCGATGGGTCCGCCCGAATCCCTGAGTAGTTCTCTCTGCCGACCATGGGAGCTCTGCACAAATGTGAAGCCTTTTCTTTGGGGTGAGATTTGCTTCAGTCACCTGGGCGTGGAGGTTGATGCCAGTTGAGCCCTTGTCAGACAGGATGATCACATTACACTCTTGATTCTGGAATCTCTTTTGTTGTTTGATACAATCGATTTTCCTACTAACAATTTCCCCATCTACAACTCGATTCGTTCGACCCGTTATTTCGGCTACATTTTCCTCTCCTCCAAACATTTCAAATAGGTAATCAATTGGTGTAGTGGGCAAACGAGCCTCCAGAGCTTGATACATGGAGATTAGGGATCTGATTTGGTCCTCACTAACTGTGAACCCCTTTTTAATTTGCACGTCAGCCCCACACATAGTTAGAACATGCTCCCAGTCGTGGTCATTTCTTCTTGCCTCAAGACAATGATCATCCACCTGCCCTTGGTCAGACTCGTGTACGAATGATCCTTCTTCATCTTCTTCTTCAGGCGATGACGACTGTCTACTGCTGCTGCTGCTGCTGCTGCTTCGGCAGTCTGGGAAATCCAAGCGAGGAATCTTGGTTTGAGGGCCCGTACTAGTAGTAGTTTCATGATGGTGTAATAAGTCTTGAGCGCATTGCAACTCTCCTCCTGTATCTGCTGCTGTAGTGCTGGTGGTGGTGGTGATGGGTGAGGCGATAATGGAGGATGATGAATCATCATCTTGGCTGAATGGTGCATCCTTGAGACTTGGTAGGAAACGCAACCCAACGAGACCAAGTGCACCATTTAATCTTGTCCGCGTCATAGAGGGAGGTAGCTTCGAGTCCACACATGCATAGTCTCTCAAGAGGGCCTTTTGACCCGTAAAGGCAAGAGTAATGATATAGGCCCAATCCTCTTGCGGGTAGGCTTTAGTTATTTCTTCCAATGAGGGTAAACTGAAGCTTAGTAGCAAGGCAGAAAAGAAACTCTGATGAGTTCCCCAGTAGCTTCCATCATTTTTGCGAGCGAGTTTTTTTGATGCTGAATCCATGTTTGGTTGCCTGTTGTCCTTCATGACGGCAAGGATGGCTTGCCACTAAAAATAAAGTTTAAATTTTACAAAAGCCTAATAGATGCTGGTAGTGATTTTAATTAAATATCAAATAGCCATACCATCTCGACACAGTCGTTGTACAGTAGTTTGTCCTGGTCTGTAATGTCTCGAATAATCACCTTCCAGTCCAGCACCGGTGGTAAATGTCTTGCAATGAACCGGCCCCGCGACTTGAGATAAATCATGAGAAACTCAGTGACGGATACTCCACACGACTTGACAACTATTTTATTAAACTCGGACATTGAGTTGAAGAGACATCCCTCTCCCCACAGCGACAACCTCGACATGTACTTCAAATGACAAGGCTCTGTCCCAACGGTTGCGGATGCGTACAAAATTTTTGCCCGTGGGTAGCGAATTTGCATGTTGGCAACGTTTCTGCCCGTTACGGACCCTTTCCTTCGACGACCATTAACCATGGTTGTCCTCCCAGTGTCGTATCCTTTGGCCAAATGACATTCGTCGAGTATGATCTATAGCATTGAACAAATGAATCTTGTTTTACATTTTTTTTTCTTTCAAGTATTCTGATTATAGTTTGACCACTCACAAGTCCATCAAAATCATTGTCTACCAGAAAGTCATCAATGTCGGGGTTGGCCATTGAGGAATAGGTTGCAAATAGTATACCCCCGTCAGCATCATTAAACTCGACCCCATCCTGACTGTCCTCCTCCTCCTCCTGTTCCTCCTCTTCTTCTTCCGTATCATCATCATTTTCGTCATGATTATCATCTGAATTGCCAATCTGGAACTCTAGGATTTTTCCTTTTACACGTACATAAAGCGTGGTGCGAGTCCCGATAAGCTTGGCTATAAAGTCCAATTCCTGGATTGCCCCGTAGGATAACTCGGACGAAGTTGAGAGCCAAACAGCCTTTTTGACTTTCATGCCAACGTAAAGCTCCCAGAACAATGCAGCAATCTCGCGAGTTTTTCCAACCCCTGTTCCATCACCTGTTTGTAGTTTATGACAAATAAAGATGAAAAGTGGTGTGGATTTTTTTGTCATAATCTTCCAATTAGTGAAAATTACCCAATAAAAATCCCGGCTGAAAACCATTCACCATTGGTTCGCTCATCCGCTGACAGCACCGTATAAGGAACTCGACCTGTGGACCAGATAATGGAGCATTGCCGCCAAGAGTTTCCAGCTGCTTCGTAAGATCTCCCGTCGTCGACAAAATTCTTGGAGAATAGGTCATCTCCGGGCCCTTAATATATGATAGAGAGGTTGATTCCGTTAATCCCCCCGCATGTGGTGTATCCCATTCCTTGGGAACTGCAAAGCGAAAAAATTCCATTAGTATATGTACCACCCGACTATTTATTATATTGCCCACAAAATAAAACTGCTCACCTCCCTTACAAATATACTTTTTAAACCGCGGCACGTCAATTTGGCGAATGGCCATGCTGATTCAAAGATTAAAGTCTGGCTGATTGAGCATGTGGTAAATTTTCATGTACTTGATCCTCGTCCTCGCTCCCTTAGTACCTTAACTCTGGGGCGTAGATGGGCGCAACGGGGCGCTTGAAACCCTTTCCTGAGCTGGTTCTGGTTCTAATCTACTGCGGCACGGGGCGTAACATAAAGATCCATTAACCATTAACCTACATTACTCCCGAGGTACATTACCTTTGAAGCGTTCCGTAATGGAGCGCCTGATAAATTATCCTGTACCGATACGTGGTATTCCTCATTGATCAAATCAATGCAGCAAGAGAACGACCAGGATCATTGTACCATTGTGTAATCTTGTTTAGTGCAAACATGTGCACACTAAACACAAACAGTCTATGACCCGACATGACGATCTTGTTTAGTGCAAACATGTGCACACTAAACAAACAGTTCACGACTCGACACGCCAATCTTGTTTAGTGCAAACATGTGCACACTAAACAAACAGTTCACGACTCGACACGCCAATCTTGTTTAGTGCAAACATGTGCACACTAAACAAACAGTTCACGACTCGACACGCCAATCTTGTTTAGTGCAAACATGTGCACACTAAACAAACAGCTCACGACTCGACACGCCAATCTTTTTTAGTGCAAACATGTGCACACTAAACATACAGTTCACGACTCGACACGCCAATCTTGTTTAGTGCAAACATGTGCACACTAAACAAACAGTTTGAGACATGACTCGACGATCATGTTTAGTGCAAACATGTGCACACTAAACAAACAGTTTGAGACATGACTCGACGATCATGTTTAGTGCAAACATGTGCACACTAAACAAACAGTTTGAGACATGACTCGACGATCATGTTTAGTGCAAACATGTGCACACTAAACAAACAGTTTGAGACATGACTCGACGATCATGTTTAGTGCAAACATGTGCACACTAAACAAACAGTTTGAGACATGACTCGACGATCATGTTTAGTGCAAACATGTGCACACTAAACAAACAGTTTGAGACATGACTCGACGATCATGTTTAGTGCAAACATGTGCACACTAAACAAACAGTTCACGACTCGAAACGTCAATCTTGTTTAGTGCAAACATGTGCACACTAAACACAAACAGTTGATGAGATGACCCAAAAATCTTGTTTAGTGCAACCATGTGCTCACTGCACAAACATTGCCTGCGAAGGGGTTCATCCGCGGTAGAAGTTTGGTTCAAAACTGAGCTAACTACAAAGTTCAACTCACACCCCGTTGCCACTATTCATACATGGCGATCCGCGAACGCTCAGGATTCCGCACATGATGTACTTTGTTAAACTAGCTGCTCCACCTCGCTCAAAGTCATCCCTAATCGCCCCGATGTTGATATAGTCAGTCACCAAGTATAGCCTACTGGTCTCATGTCATCCTTACTTATCGTTGCCCTAAATCTCCCCGGTGTTTGTAAACCTGTCAGCAGATTGGCTGGATACAAAGCTCTCATCACGAGCGTTGGCAAGTGTTTTTTTGAAATTGATAAAGTTCATCTAGGTTAGTGTACCAATAAATTGTGATAACATCTATAATATAAGCTGGAAATGTCTGTCCAGGCAATTTGTCCTCAACGGAAGTGAAAGTGGAGAAAGTCAAATTTCGAATGGCGCGAAAATTCAAAAATTTTAATTTAAAACAAAATTATTTTTCGCTTACAACCACTCCCAAATAACCACACGAGATAACCTCGACAGACAACCACTCACATATAATCAACATCAGACAACCACCCCAGATAATCACTATCTGATAACGCCCAGATAATCACTGTCTGTCAACCCCCAGAGAACCACCAGTGCCGGCTCTGTTTTTGATCCCAGTCGCCCAGAGCCTCATCATCATCATTATCAGCAGCAGCAGCAGCAACAACAACATCCGAGGGGAGAGGAAGAGGAAATGTCAATAGCAGCAGGGGACAACAGACACAACAGGGATCAAGGGGCGGTGGTGGTCGTGGATCCAGCAGCACCCGCACCAACTGTGGATTTGGGAACTAACTCGCGCCAAAAACCTTACTATTGTCAACTATGCTGCCGCTACAAGAATAATTGTTTGAAATGTGACTGCTCCGCTAATACTTTTATCTGCTGCTCTTGTCTCATAAAGGACATTTTCATTGGGCATCGGTTCAAGTGTCCACTTTGTCAATCCCTTGAACTCTTTAATCATATGGAACTAGTGTGTTATACCAGTATTGACGAGACTGGGTATTTAGTTTAGATTAATTTCTTGAATGTAGAGGTTTAATCAAAAATTTATATTAATTTTTCAAAAAAAAACAGTTAATACTATCCCATCCAGCTGTAGCCATCTATTAATAAGTCGAATCTTTCTTTGTTAGTGCTATTTATATCACGTTAAAAAAATAATGTTATGAAATAGTTTTGTTGTTCATGCTATCAAAAAATCAAAAAATGTGAATTGTTAAAACATGAAAATTTAATGCAATAAATATGGATTTTTTATACCATCAAGCATAACTATTCATACAAAACTTCATTACCATACTGCCCATTTGAAAGTATATTTCCGGAATATTGCGCCCCAAAGTTGATTACATCGCGGCTTCTGTTGTTGGATATCACTATATATAGATCATCTTCTTTGATTGGAGGTGCAAGGGCTGAACAGGTGCCTAGGTTGTTGCTAAAACAGATAATATTTGTCTTGTTTGATTTCGTATGGGGTGAAATTCAATTTTTTTGCTTAGTACCCTTATTGCATGGATTAATCTTGAATGATTCCCAGTTATGTTGACAGGATTTTTTATATTATGCTATGATATAATGCTCGTATTATACGAAATTAGCAAAAGCAAACTCTTATGCTTACCCATGAATTGAATGACTATGACATTACTCTATCATCGAATATTATGTTTCATGCATCGCAAATCACTTTGGATAAGACATTATCCATCCACTAATCAGTATTATTAAAATGTATGTTAGTGTACTAAAGGGGAAAGAATATTTTCTTGCATGGCCCGATTTGCGCCCACCGCACACGGTCAAGTTCACGAAAAATCACTGCTTTCCCTCTTCAAACCACGATGGAAAAGCAAATTTTACTCGAATTTTAGTGCTTTGTTGATTGCAGATGGTTGCTTTGATACCTAAAGATCATCCACTAACGAATTGGACTTTCCGGTAAAAGGCGCGCTAGGCGGCATTAAATTTCGAAAAAACTATTTTTGAATAGACCAAGTTATAAGCATTCCATTGATACATGTCAACAATTATAGAGTCATGGCTAAGAATAGAACAATTTGGGTTGAAAGGCAAGAGTAGAAAAAAAGTGATTGAGTTTCACAAAAATCGAACAAACTAAAATCTCTAAAATCACTTGGCACTTTTTCAAGCAAGAAGATATTCCTCATTCAAATGTTAAGTTACTCTTACGTAAAAAAGTACGGGGAATCCAATGACGTCAAACTCAAAGTCCCAACTGGTCGACCTGTAAAGCTACCGACGACAAAGTCAAAAATAATCAGATAAAAAAAATATTCAAAAATTATCCATCAACGACAATGGCAGGAGCGGAAAGGAAGGTCAACATTTCAAAAAGCTATATAGGCAAAATCAAAGCCCACAAACTCGGGATTGTAGCCGGGGAAAAAAAACCAGCACCAAATTACAAACCAACACAAAATGATAATTGATATGTGATGCAAGAAATAGTTGAAGAAAATTCGGGGGAACGTGGTCATCATGGACGATGAGCACCATGTCACAGCTGACCCTTTAAATCTTCCAGGCATTTTTTCCATAGCCATAGAGTCCAAAAGAAAGACCAATTCACAAAAAAAACGAAGAATTTGGCAAAGCTTGTCTAGCATTGGTCATGTTTCCGATCCCGTTATTTTGGAGGGCATTGTAAACCACGGAGTTTATCTTAAATCATGCATTAAAGGGGGATTGGAATCGTTTATTACCAAGGATCATAAAAAATAAAGTTTTGCTTTGGCCTGACCTCGCAAGGTCCCATGACACCAAAAAGGTCACTCATTACCGACATCTGAAAAAAATTGAATTTGTGCCAAAAAATGGAAACCCACCAAATTTTCCTCAACTGGGACCAGTTGAGAAATTCTTAGCGCTGACCAAGTCCAAATATTCTAAGCTTTCGGAAACGCCAGACAGCTTATGAAAATTTAAGAACAGATGGAAGAAAATCAACTTGAAAGTTGGTGCAGTCTATGGGCGGAATTTGACGCGAAATCGGAAGAAGAAACTACAATCTGTAGCAGACAGCGGAATTGAATCATTAAAATTGGAACTGCATGGCAATCCAAACCCTTTAGTAGTAAGCATATGTAACTTTTTTGAAATTGCATAAACTGTGTAAAAAATTCTGCACAATTTATTTCGTCAGTCCAACTCGTTAGTGGATGATGTTTAATATCAAGTTCGACTTTGAAATATTTTTAAGACATACTAATTTTCAAATAGATAACTTGAAATTTAGTATAATATAAGAATCATATTAGTACTAGGTACACTGGTTTTTTATGATTATGATTAATCTTGACTATTTAGTAATTATGTCAAACGGTAAAATGTAGAAAGCTCTGGTTATTATGGTAAGTGGAATTTATACAATAAATCTTATGCCGCAAGTGTGTTATGCAAAAGTGTTTTACGCAATTCCACATGGAACGTTTGATTGAATCCGAGTTTTATTTTTTGTTGGGAAATTAAATTAATTAATCTATATTTCATGTCAAGGTACTACAACAATTTCATGTGGTACACTAATTTTTGTCTATTTTTGTACGTTACTTTGTAAAATAGTCGATTTATTTGTAAAGAGCATGTAGATTTTTCTTTAAAAAGGAGAATGCCCATTCCCTTGAATCCGAATCCTCTGGTAAAGCATCAACACTGGCAAAAAGAATTTCGGGATCATTGTCAGCAAAAGTGGTGGTGGTGGTGGAAACCTAAATTAGAGTTGTTTTAGGTTTTGTTGGTTAGATTGGCACGCAAAAAAAATGATTAAGGGCTAAATAATATTGTAAATCTAAACAATAAAATGTAAAAAGAAATATAAACTCACTAGCTTATAAGCCCGTCTCCCGTCGGGCGAGCGAGAATTATAAGCTGCAAATGTCTGCCGGCAACGAAATAAAAGCAAATGTTCCGCAACGGAAGTGAAAGTAAAGACAGTCAAGTTTCTGACAACCACTCTAAGATAAGCAACCCCCTCTAATCCCCAAGATAACCACCATCAGACAACCACTCCGAGATAACCCCCCCCCCCCAAAAAAAAAAAAGATTACTACCATCAGGCAACCATTCCCAGATAACCACCATCAGACAATCACTCAGAGATAAGCCCCCCAAAGATAACTACCATCAGACAACCATAAACAGTTTATGACATGACACGACAATGTTGTTTAGTGCAAACATGTGCACACTGCAGGAAACTGTTGGAGCAGCGGTATCGGTATGCACTGCACTGGCTGTCATCTGAGAGTGGTTATCATGGATTATCTGCGGGTTTTCAGATAGTGATTATCTGATGGAGATTATCTTGTATTGTTATTTAGTTGTCGTAAATGAACAATAATTTTGTATTAAATTAAAATTTTTGAATTTTCGCGCGCCATTCGAAACTTAACTTTCTCCACTTTCACTTCCGTTGTGGAAAATTACTTTCACTTCCGTTGCAGACAAACATTTCCAGCTTATAATATAGAAGATAGAAGATTAGCAAGGCATTCTTAAATTACTCTTACCAACTGCTCACTCTTTTTTGACAAGAGTTTCAAGTACTCGACACAACTTGATGCAAGTGCGGCTCGTTGCAAATCATTGGTTTTGGTTTCAGAAAACAAAAACCTGAAGGCCGCCAGGTTATAATTTAATGCGTCCATAATTGTTAGTGCGTGAGATACGTGTTCTTGGTCCATCATTTCCGTAAACTCGGGCCGGTGTATAGAGTAAAAAAACTCGCGCTCCCAGTCTTCCCAGTTGGTCAAGTTATCCGTCTTGAGCAGGACTATGCCAAATTGTTTCTGAAACAGTTTGTTTACTTGGGCAAGGGACAAGAGTTTATAAATTGATCTGAGCAATTTGATGCCAATGAAGGGGTTTACTATCCGGAAGGTGGGACGCCCGAATCGCTTCAGATACCGCACAGATTCCTCGTGAAAATTAAATCTGCTGGCCAGATTTGGGACGATATCGTTTAGAAACGTGGTTCTCAACTGCTTGGGCTTTCGAGACGTAATGATCTAAATAAAGGATTAAACGTGTTTTGGTCTCTATATGTGATGCGACTAGTAAAACCTACACCACTAAAGATTTGAGAGGACGTACCTGAGCCTTTAAAACAATTTTATCCCATGTAGAGTCCTCTAACAACTCTGGTCCTAAATCCAACTGCACAATGATACCAAGCATTTTTTCCCACTCCCTGTCCGTCAACCCCCTAAAGCAGGTCATGAGGTCTCTATGCTCCTTTTCAGTCACAGTGTGAGGATGGTAATTGCCGTCCATCGGGCTCGGCAGTTTGCGTGGCTCAAGCTCTTGATTTACCCACTTGTCCCATTCAAGATTATTGGCCATGTTGTCATTAGCTTGCTCCTCTAAAGTGCCGTTCATCATGACATCCAAGGTTGTGGGTGACAGGGGTTTATTGATACTAGGAGCACTCGGTGGTTCGAGTCGTTGTTGTTGTTGTTGTTGTTGAAGATCACGATTCACGATAGTGGCTTGTAGGGCGGCGGTGATTGTCATACCCCTCCCTATTGGTTCTCCACGCACGGTAGTCTGAATGTTGCTTCTACTCTTGTCCGGTTGCTGCTGCTGTTGGCGGTTTAGCGGGAGAGGGACAATGGTTGTGGGGTGGTGGATTGCAACATTTCGCTCCGGTTGTATCTGTTTATTTGGATCCAGATTGTTTGACTTGTGCACACGGGTCGTCTGGACAATATGTTTGAACCCAATAACGTCCATGTCCCAGCCGTCCTATAAACAAACCAAAAAAAAACGTACTTTGCAAGTTTCAAGTTTTGGCTAACTGATCAAAATGGAACAACTTACACTGTCCATTAATCGTTTCCAGTTCTGGTCAGTGTCTCGAAAGGTTGGGTCTAGCCTGGCGAATTTCAGGGCATCCGGCTGCTTCTCGCATCCGTCTGATGATGATGACGACGCTGACGGTAGAGGCCGTGTAAACAACCGATCCTGTGTGGACACCTGTCGGTGGCGGTCGCCTTCGTATGTAGTACAAATTAATCCAAGCTGCTGGGCATCACAATTGTACTGTTGTGTGTTTGTGCAAAAACAGAAAAGAGTCAATCATTGCTTGGTTATATATGTTATAGGTTAGTTATCCAACCTTTCTAGCACATGTTTTAAAAAATTCTCCAATATTATCCACCCTAGACCACCCTTGAAACTTGGATACGTATTCAAGCGCTTTATCCAGGGGGTCTTCGCAATCATCTAAGCCTTGCTCTCGGTCAGCAAAAGGAATTTCTGGGTCCTCTGATGTTGATTTGCTGTACTCTTCCGTCACATGATTTGTCTCTGGAGCTTTAACTAGTATTGGTCTGACTAATGATTCGGCACCATCCTCGTCTTTGTCATCGTCATCATCGGACAGTGTCATAACTGGTATTTGTTTTTTTTCGCGTCCCGTTAAAATGGCGCACAGTTCACGGAATTGTACTCGGTAGTCAAAACTGCTTCTACCACCCTTTAAAAATTGCCCAAGGGTCAAAAATTTTGCCCATTGTGAAGGATTGCACCTCAGGGCACGAAGCTTTGTCTTGATTTGAGTGATTGTTCTTGCTTCTAACCCCTAATTTATCATTATTACCTTTATTATTATTATTAACCTTAATAATCGTACGTATTATTCTGGATTTCTTTTTCTACCTGAATTTGTGACAATGTGGCAAAATCAATCTTGTTCATTTCTGCATACAAGAGTCCCAATCTAGACAGCTCGTTTGTCAAACTCTGTGTCTCCTTTCTTGTCCATTTCTGTGTTGTGATGTTCCCCCGGCTGAGAGGCCTTGAATCCAAGTTGTGCTGGAGGGGGCTGCTCCCATGATCTAATCTAATTGGTTTAATCGCCTGCGGCGGCGGCGGCGGCGGAGGAGGAGGAGGAGCAGGAGGTAGCTGCTTCCTCGTGGTTAATCCTACTCTCTCCCGCTCGACTCTTGCCGTCAGGATGGATCGTAGAATCAAATACGGTCTGGTTTCATTGTGCTTTACCGACAATAGTTGATCCAATGTCATATATCTGGACCACATTAGAGGGTTCTCCCGCAATGTTGTAATTTTTTTCTTTATTTGGATCGGGGATCGGTTTGACAAAAACTACAAAAATTGAATTAAACAATTGTATCACAATAGTAAAATATATACATGTTTGAGTGCGTTTTACCTTGTTGTTGGCAAAGGGGCCAATGTCAATCTCACCTGTGGGTGCAAAGAGTCGCCCCTGATTGAGCAGCTCCTTTGTCAAAGCCTGTGTCTCGCTAAAACTCCAAATTTGCCTACCCGCCATTTCACCCAACTCTAGTATTCTGTATTATTATCTAGTTCAGTTTTATTATACGTCAATGGTAGTAGCCACCATCCTGATGACACAATCTCATTACCAAATTTAACACTCTTACTCTGTCCAGGTACCGAAAAATGAGGGAAAGGACAGAGGTTAAATTTTGTATTTGTTCGCATGTGCTGGGACAAGAGGGACATGAATGTAGGGGTGCATAGGGGCGACTACGATGACGACGACGATGGCGACGAGGTGTGATTTTTTTAACTTTGCATTTAGTTTAATTTGCACTTTATTTGATCGTTGGTGTCACATCAGCACACACACAGTTTGGGCAGTGTGCACATGTTTGCACTGAACCAGATCGTCGTGTCACGCCACAAGCTGATTGTTTAGTGTGCACATGGTTGCACTAAACAAGATTTTCGGGTCATCTCATCAACTGTTTGTTTTTAGTATGCACATGTTTGCACTAAACAAGATCACCATGTAGGGTCATGAAGATCTTGTTTAGTGCAAACATGTGCACACTAAACAAAATCTTCATGACTCTACATGGTGATCTTGTTTAGTGTGCACATGTTTGCACTAAACAAGATCACCATGTTGGGTCATGAAGAGCTTGTTTAGTGTGCACATGTTTGCACTAAACGAGATCGACATGTCGTGTTATAAACTGTTTGTTTAGTGTGCACATGTTTGCACTAAACGAGATCGACATGTCGTGTTATAAACTGTTTGTTTAGTGTGCACATGTTTGCACTAAACAAGATCTTCGTGTCATGTTAGACACAGTGTGTTTAGTGTGCACATGTTTCGACGTACCATGTCAGGGGTTGTTTTGCTCATATTATGTTTGGGCAACTGATGGCACAGCACAATGTCCATGAGTACTATCAGATCTGGAATTCCTGTGCGCACAGAGTATGGGTTGCTTTATTGTGATTTTCTGCGTTATCTGATTAGTATGGCCAGTATGCAACCTCGAGCAAAATTTAGCTCCGGCGGTTGTAACCCTACGATGCTACTAGGGTGGATCGAAGCGAGCGCGTGATGTAGCGAGGTGGTATTTACGCCTACAGTGTTGATCAAGACAAAAGCCAAGTTGTCTCTCTGTGGCATTCTTCCCAAGAGTTTTTAATATGATGTGCGTAGATCAGAAAGAAGTACGCGTGGCCAAATTGGCTGGGGATGGATAAATAACAAGTATTTACCCCTCAACGCCCTTCGATGCCCCAGTGTTGACATATCGAGATATGAAGGGGGTATGGACGCAACTCGCCTCAGGCTGCTACTTTCGAGTTCCAGTTGAGTAAACCAGTACAAATCCTTATTTTACACTCATCACTCACACGGATTCTCAGCCATATCTAGCTGGTGCAAAACATTACCAAGATACGGAATATTGTTCGATTTGGGCGGATCGGTCAAAACCTATCTTCATTTATTTTGTTTCGTTGCTTCCATTCTATCGATCCTTCTTATCATGTCGAGCAAGCGTGGCAATAAGGTAATCTAGTTGCTTTCAATCACTGATTTTGTTTTTTAATACTCTCTGTCATCCATGTCATCGCTGTTATGTGACGACTATGTTTGATGATTGATCCATCTTTTCATTTTTAGCAACCAAAGTCAAGTTTAACACTAGGGGACACTAGGGCTTTCTACAAGCTTCTTTTTGGGAGATTAGATGAGTCCGGCATGATTGACCTTAATACAACGCTCCTCGAGTTTAAACGGGTTTGTGCGAGAAATAATGCAAATCTTCATCAAAGCTATGTTTATAAATATATTTTAATACTTTGGACAGTTATACTCTCCGGCTCAAGGCGTTACAGGCCTGTTGAGGGAAGAGTATGAAAAAAGACGACGGGAACATCCGAGTGTCTCAGAATTTCGGCAGTGGGCCATATTTCATGACTACCATACGGAAAACGTGGAACATGATTCTGATACGGAAGAGGACGGTACAAATAAAGATCAAAACACTGATCATGCAGATGAGTTGGCATCAAGAAAAATCTTTCACGATCGGACATTTTACTTTCTCAACTCGCAACTCAATGATGTCACTGTTGAACTTGCACGGGCTTGCTACAGACTCTTGAAGGTAAGCCTTTACCGGTAATGGTGGATGTTAATAAAGGAACCTAACAATCTATATTATAAGCTGGAAATGTTTGTCTGCAACGGAAGTGAAAGTAATTTTCCACAACGGAAGTGAAAGTGGAGAAAGTTAAGTTTCGAATGGCGCGAAAATTCAAAAATTTTAATTTAAAACAAAATTATTTTTGATTTACAACCACTTCCAAATAACCAAACAGGATAATCAACATCAGATAACCACTCCCAGAGAAATATTCCCATTAGTCCGCCACCAGAGAGCCACTCCCGGATAAGCACCCCAAGATAACCAAGCTAAGAAAACCTCTCCCAGATAACAGCCCCAAGATAACCTCTCCCAGATAACCACCCCAAGATAACCAGTCAGATAACCACTGTCAGATAACCAGTCAGATAACCACTGTCCGATAACCACTCCCAGATAACAGCCAGTGAAATGCATACCTAGCAGTTCCGTGCAGTGCCCACATGTTTGCACTAAACAAGATCGTCATGTCGGGTCATAGACTGTTTGTGTCTAGTGTGCACATGTTTGCACTAAACAAGATCGTCATGTCGGGTCATAGACTGTTTGTGTTTAGTGTGCACATGTTTGCACTAAACAAGATCGTCATGTCGGGTCATAGACTGTTTGTGTTTAGTGTGCACATGTTTGCACTAAACAAGATCGTCATGTCGGGTCATAGACTGTTTGTGTTTAGTGTGCACATGTTTGCACTAAACAAGATCGTCATGTCGGTCATAGACTGTTTGTGTTTAGTGTGCACATGTTTGCACTAAACAAGATCGTCATGTCGGGTCATAGACTGTTTGTGTTTAGTGTGCACATGTTTGCACTAAACAAGATCGTCATGTCGGGTCATAGACTGTTTGTGTTTAGTGTGCACATGTTTGCACTAAACAAGATCGTCATGTCGGGTCATAGACTGTTTGTGTTTAGTGTGCACATGTTTGCACTAAACAAGATCGTCATGTCGGGTCATAGACTGTTTGTGTTTAGTGTGCACATGTTTGCACTGAACAAGATCGCCATGTCGAGTCATAGACTGTTTGTGTTTAGTGTGCAAATGTTTGCACTAAACAAGATCGCCATGTCGAGTCTTAGACTGTTTGTGTTTAGTGTGCACATGTTTGCACTGAACAAGATCGCCATGTCGAGTCATAGACTGTTTGTGTTTAGTGTGCAAATGTTTGCACTAAACAAGATCGCCATGTCGAGTCTTAGACTGTTTGTGTTTAGTGTGCACATGTTTGCACTGAACAAGATCGCCATGTCGAGTCATAGACTGTTTGTGTTTAGTGTGCAAATGTTTGCACTAAACAAGATCGCCATGTCGAGTCTTAGACTGTTTGTGTTTAATGTGCACATGTTTGCACTGCACAAGATCATCGGGTGATGTCAGCACACGGTCGACGAGTTGTGTCACGTCGACAGTGGGACCAATGTGCTGGGCTGTGCTGTGGGTACAGCACAGGGTCCACTGGTTGTGCCAGATCGGGACTGGGACG